TCACTCAGTCTCGCGTTGGGTGGGTGTGCTTTATAACTATGCACACTGCATAAATGTATATTATGGACAAGTTCACAAGGACACGACGTGAGAATCCGGCTGCATTTTATGGAACGTGTAATGCACGACCGGCGTTCATTAGCACGCCTTGCAATTAAAACCCACGATTGGAGAAAATTATAATTTAGTCGCGGAAAGAAACGATTTTACCCTTGGAAAAATTTAAAAGGTGGGTTTAACATTCCTTATTTGAGGTCAAATAAATTGCCAGCGTTTTAAAACATCAATGCGTGGTTAGTTTTTAGAAACAAAAACACAAAAAGGAAGTTTTTGTTCCTAAAATTTTTATCCAACTTTCAATGCAGATTGTTATTCAAAAAAGCTGCAAGTTTGAAACATGGTTTTCCACTCTTTTTTTCCTGCTTAATCAAACATGCTGGCTAGGACTGATTCAAGCCCCTAAAATTTATTCAGTCCAATATAAGAATATTCTAATTAAAAAAAATTCAGACGCAAAAACTTATAAAATTTAGCAAATGTTTGGAGTTTTTGAAAGCTCATTAATTTTTAAGTCCATTCTTGCTGGTCTCATTTCTGTGCTAGTGATTGATAATTTTCTTAAAATAAAATTATTTAAAGAGATAACATTTCAAAAGCTAATTTTTTGACCTTAGAAGCTGTAAAGATGGCATAAAATTCAAAGAGGAAAAATTGGCATTTTTTTTTTTTTATTAATTCATAAAAAAATGTTAATATCTCCTTTCTTGTTGTTAATATAAAAAAAAATTGATGAAAAGTAATCTGATATTTATAATTTTCTTGACTTTTTTAGTAAATTTACTTGACCATTTAAAAATCTAATTTAAAGTGATATAATTTGGCAAATAAGTCAAATACACGCTATAGGAAGTAAAAAAATTCAGTTTCAACAAACAAGAGAATTTTGTCTTAATTTACTTTTGCGATTTGCGTGTTGCTGCAGAGTAAAGAGAGGCTAAAAATAATGAAAGGCACCAGTGTGAACGACGAGGGCTGTAAACGTGAATATCCTGTCGACCGACGGCATAGCGGGTGATGCTCTGCTGACGCAGAATCCCATGGCATCACGTAGCCCAGCGGCAGGTGGCCGCTGCCGAGATCTCTAGTGGCCACTAGCACGCACGGCCCTTTTTTTATGTGTTGCGGGGCTAGTTCGCCATAGGCTGACAGTCAAGATCTTCCCACGCTGCTGCAGGTGCTGCCAGCAACTGATTTTTGATTGAAATTTTGATTAGATTTAATGTGCGTGGCGAGAAGGCCCGCTGTGCCTTATACGTAATAAGCTTCAATTAGTGAAATAGGGCGTATCGTTTTTGAGACAATTATTTTGGTGGAAAATTTTCTTCCTGGTAAATGATCATTAAAGTACTCGAAGAATACTTCATAATGGAAAAAATTGTCACAAATTGTTCAAAATATGAGATTTTGAAGATTTCTTGCTTCTGTTTAAAAAAATCCTGGGAATTTATTAATACAATAAATCCTATTATTTTTTATTAATTTTTTTTTAAATAAGATAAGTGTGAAACATTATTGTTTTTTTCTTGCATTGTAATTATTTATATGAAATGACAAAAAAAATTAACTGCCACAGTTTTTTTCAGTCAATAAGCTAGTCAAGCATCAAATAGCGTCAAGCTGTGCTTTTATTCCTGGTGTTCCTGTTTCTACCTCTTTTAGTGCCAATTATACAATATTAAATATTAACCAATTTAATCAGATTAAATTAAAAATTTTTAAAATATTTTGTTTAATAAAGATAGTTACTTGTTATTTATATCATTTGTTATATATATATATTTTTTTTTAATTTTTGTATTGTTTCATTCTAATAAAATTCAAGCAAAATTTGAATTGTGAGTACTTATAATATTCCAATTCTGTGGTTTTACAAAAATTTTTTCCATTTAAATTCGAAACTATGAAGCTCTTAAGATTAAATTTTCAACAATCTTAAAATACAATTTTCCTTGGAATATTCAAACTTGTCAGCTTTTTTAATAATTTTATATACAAAAAAAAAAAAATATTTCCATGATGTTCCCTCAGACAATACATAAATTCCTCTTGTCGTATTACTTACGCATTCTGAATAGGTATACAAGAGATTGCATTGTTCGCCCCCTAAACACAATCACGATGAAATTAAAAATCTAGCGGCTGATTAATTTATATGTAGAGGAGGAAGAAGAGAGATGAGACGTGTGTGTAGGAGAAATCAACACCTCTGGAAAGAAATATCGTCTCGCTCAGACAATGCGAGATTGAGTTTTCTTCTTCGGCGGGTAAAAAACTCATTGTCACCTCGGTGGCTGCGGGAGATAAGGGATGGGGGTGGTTTGCGCGCAGGTGCTTGTTCGATGCTCGTAACCGGCAATCGCACGTCGAATGTAATGTATTATTGCTCTCGCCTACTGCTGGGACTGGCGAGGAGGAAAATCGAGAGAGCTGCTGCGAGGAGGAGGCAAGCCTGGCAACAGCGCCCGTAACACCTGCTCTCAGGTGAAAGACAAGCAAGGGTCATACGCCTTCTGTCTGCTCCACTCGAAGCTGCTGCGTCCTACGGCCTCGCCGCTCACTCGCTCCAGCCAGAGACCCATCCACACACTCTCTCGGCTTTGATCATTTAGATTAAGGCTGATAAATTACGTATGAGGCACAGATCACTCGTTGACAGAGAGAGAGAGACGCGAGAACCTAGGTGGAAAATTCATGTGGTGTCATTTTACACTTCTCTCTAACTAACAATTAGGGAGAATGTAATATATTATTTTTTGAATCGGCGCTGTGCCCTTTCAATTAGCATCACGTAAAATATTTTATATTGTTGATTATGTGGTGCAATAATTAATTATTTTTTTATTCTGTACATAAAAGTAGATAAAGATAGAAAAAAATTTTTTTTCACACATTTTATAAAATTTTATATAATATGCACACATATAGTTTTTTACGTCATGAATTATTAAAATGTGCATAATATATTTCATGTATTTCAAAATAAAAATATACAAGAAATTCAATAATTTGTTGAACTTTTTTTGTCTGAACAATATTTTCGATTCGATCTTTCAGTTTTAATTTGGAATCAATGTATTGTTAAGATATTGACTTAACTTTTCATCTCTTTTCATAAAATTTTTATAGTCAAAAGTATCTCTTTTTAAACTTTTAAATTTTTTTATATTGTTGTATTTTAACAAGAACTGATTTTCAACACTTTAATTGATAAGTCATTTTGCAATTTTTCTTTAAAACTGAAGTTATTGTGATGTTGCCTTTTTGTCTCTAAATTACAATAATGTTTCCTTCCAATAATTATAGTCTTCCATTTTATGGAAAGTATTTGCAACAATTTTTAAAATATAAACAATATAAATCGATCCTTAAAAAAATCTCCATAATTTATGCAGTTGATATTTATGATTTTGTGCTAGTTTTTAGTTTTTATTGCATCTTCACAACTAAAAAAAAGTTTAACTAGAAAATATTGCAAAATAATTTCACTGCCATTGAGATTGAAGTCAAACAGAATCCTTTATAATAACTTGTTATAATTTATGAGGGTTAAATTTGTTTGCAGGCGTAAATATTGGTAATCATTTGGGTGCGTTTTCTCTGAGGGTGCGTCTAAATAATGCTCGCGAGTGATGTTAATTGCTCGCGAATTTCGCTGTACGTTTCCATTGTTTGCCAAAGGTACGGCGAGAGAGAACCATTCACTCGCCGGGATGCCAAGCAAGTCATGTTATATGGCACTCGCTGCGCACAAACTTTTCCTCCCGCTGGAAAGCAAAGCGCGCGCGGGCCAGATGTTTTTGCTGTCGCGACCGAGAGTGAACGAACGACTCTTGTTTGGTGAATTTGAAAAGAGAGTGGACTGCTCTCGCGAACAATGAAAACAGGCATCGAATTAGAATAGCGGTGGTGCGCTGCCTGCGCCGCGGCCCATATTATACATCACGAGCTGTAGGGATAAACCTTGTGTGTGTGTTGATCGCCACCCCCTGCATGATGCTTCATGTCGAGGGGGAGCGGATTTTCAACAACAACAACGAGTGCGCGAGAGAGAGCACGGAAATTTTCAAAAGAAGAGAAAGAGGCTTTTGAATGTCGACGTGAGGGCGTGATGAAGTTGATGACGTTCTGAAATTCCAGTGCAATTAATCAGGCGTTGATTTAATTCATTCATTATTTTTTCCAGTTCATAGCTTTTAAGCGTAATGAAGAAAAAACTTCAAATAATTGCAGTTGAAAAATATAATTTCAAAATTAATAATTCAATAATTATGTCAGTAGATAATTCTGAAATACTCATCAAGAACAAATAACTTCTTTTAATTTTGAATTTAATAAGAAAATATTAATAAACACGGTAATCAATTCAGGTAAAAATTAAAAAAAAAATGGATGGAAATAATCTACTAATTTTATGTGGGTTTTTTCAACCTTTGTTTTATAATTATTGTATTCAACGTATTATTTTAGTTTCATCCTGAATTTTCTAAAAAAAAATTAATTAAAATGTCAAATAATTCATATTTTTATTCTTCTATTTAAAACTTTTGAGCCGAGAATATTATATTAGTCAAATTTAAAAAGAGAAATTTAAACATTGAAATTGAAAGTGCTTTGAATCTGCTTTTTCTCCCTTAGTTTGTTCCCCAACCGGAATCATTAATATTCCAATAATAATTACTTTGTCCCTTAATTTGGTTTCGCTTTTTTTGCTTTTGAAAATTTCCAAAGCATGAAGGCGCGTCAGCAATAAAGACAGACTTTGCTTTCCGCTCTCACATGAGCTAGGGTGGCCTCGCGCTTTGGTCGCTCGGCAGTGTGTTTACAGCGAGCGGAGGGGAAGCGGCGGCGGCGTTGGGGCCGAGAGGAGAGACGCACGCATGGGCCGCGGAGAGGAGCCGCGAGTCTCCCCGCTGCCCTCGCGTTATTTAGTTGAGCACGAGCATCGGTAGGGCCGGCGTGCGCGGTGTTTCAGTCATTTGGCGCCGCCGCTTTGTTAGCCCTCAAGGACTAAAAGTGAGATTTTTTCCCCGCGACCGGCGTCCCGTCGACCGCGTCGGGCCGATTCCGCGTGATTTGGACTTCGGTTCGCGAGTGCTTGTGTGTGTGACCTGTGGAGGATTGATACGTACATACCTGCTTGACCTACCTTCTCCGTAGCAAAGGTAATTTATACCCGACCACACACACCGGAGCAAATTCGCTCTTCGCCTTTTTTTTATTTATTTTTTTTTTATTCTCACTCGGATGCAAAAGTTTCGCCTCTGAAATTAATGAAAAGCTATGGATGAAAAAAAAGTAATAACACCGTGGGTCTGTCGAGCGTGGTGCATGGTTTACGATGATGACGACGACGAAGGAGCAGCAAATGATTTCACTTCTTCTGCTCCGAGAAGTCGGTTTTTTCTTTCTGTGCTCCGTGGAAAATAATGTTTATGTGGGCAAACTCGTTTAGAACATGAGACGCTCGTAATGAGCGCGCACATGCAGCATCGGGATAAAATCAAATATAAATCGGCCCAATTTATCCAGACCGCACAGAAATGAGAATCAGATCACCAAAATCCCTCCATCATCCCATCGCTCAGTTTTTTTTTCTCCGAATCTCATTTCCTAAATTTTTTTCCGGAGAAATTTATTTCACGGAATATATGAATCTCAATTTCCGTTCTTATATTACAGGAATGGAGAAATATTAGAGATTTGAAAAACAAAATAAGGAAAGAAAGTCTAAATTAATTTTTCTTCCAAGTATTCATTCGTTCAGGTTAATTGAGTCTTGCGAGCAGAGATTTATCCTCCGCCATGGGAGAGAATTTCGAGTGCTCACGAAATAGGAAGCAGCATCAAAACATCTGGCCCGTAATGGCTGACAACGGGGGCGGTAGATCACTTGAAAAGTTTAAACTTGATGCTCATACACAGTAAATGGCAGTAAAGCGACCGACCACTCCAAAGACGAAATTAATCTAATTAACCAAAATAAACTATTATTAATTTCATAAGTAATATTTTTTAGATGCTTTTTTGATTTTATTTTTTCGCTGTTTAAGAAGTTTTTTATTGTAAATTAAATTGAAAACTAATGCTCTGAATGCAAATGTGAATATTTCAGCTTTTTATTGTAAATCACAATTTGTTTGAAAAAAAAACTTTATTCCTTTTCTAAAAGCAGACGATTAAAATTGGAAATTATTTGAGAATTCCATTACTTTCGAAAAGCATTTTGCAAACTAGACATTTCAAAAGACACGCAATTTCATTAACTTTGAGTAAAGTTCTGCGAGGCACATATTTCACTCGCTCCACTCACTCTCATTTTTATTATTTTCACGCCTCGTTTCTCTCACTTGCGCTGAAACACACATCCGACTGCAAAAGTTCCTTTTTTTTCTCATAATATTTCCCTCGGCTGAAACGCATTTGAAAACACAAATAAATTTATCTCTCTCCTTTTTTTTTTTGGCAAAAACCGAAATCATTTTGCTTTTTCCCTCTTTCTGATGAGTGGCTGGGCAACCGATATGCTCGTACAACCCCCTTGAGACTGGACGATGCCGGCCGCTGTATTGGATATTTATTTGTCATTCGTTTTTAATTCCGGCAGATAAAAGAGCCACAGAGGCAATCGCATAAATTCCGTGTCCGCCGATAACGATCCTGCGCCGAACCATAATTTTATAAATGAAATTTATTTTTTTCGCGGTTCTTTTTCTCTCTCCACATATAATATAATGACAATAACAATTGCTGATTGTTTGCAGCGACCCTTTATGCCAACGGTAGAGTAATTTAATTAATTTTGCACAATGCCGAGAGTGCATTTAGCAAAATAATTTGATATGCCGCTTCGTTTTATATATTATGTTATATATGCATTTGTAGGCACACATAGAGCGAAATTAAATCAACCTGTGCAAACAGCGGTGCTGTTGGCGAACGGCTCTGCCGGAGCAAATTAAAAACGGCCCGACGCCGCCGCGCTCGCTCTCTTTTTAGCCCAGAGCATACGGCTCAAGTTGGTTGTGTACTTTTGCTTTCGTGGGAATTTGCTGATGCCGCCGAATTGGAGTTGGCGATTTAATTATTATTCATCGACGGCTGCCGCGCGAAATGTGGTGGCGGATTTTATTTTAAATAAAAATTGTTTTGACTCAGGCGCGCGAGAAAATTGCTTTTCTCGCAGGGCGAAAGTTATTGTGAATTTTTTCATGTTGATTAATGTCGTTGATATGTGCAAATAATTCACACGAGAATATTGAAATTCAGCTCACACGGATGTTATAATATCATAGTCTGCAGGGACTGATGCGTTGCATCCAGATATGGATAATTTAATTATTATATTAATGAATAGTCTGCCATTGTAATATATAGTACATTTGCAACCTATTTATATGCAGATATATCTGTTACCTTTTGAATAATATGCAGATGGGAATTGACTGAATTTCTCTTTCAATATTCTTGGATTTTAATCTAAAGAGCAACGAATTACAATTGTGGTCAAAATTTTAATTGAAGTAAAAAATACCACAAAATGAAAAGTTTTAAAATTCTCAATAACCGCGGCATAATTTATTTTTATCAAAAAGGGAATAATCAGAAAAGGTGTTTGTTCAAAGCGAACAAATTGATTCCTTTGTTCAGAATAACTAGCACATTTTTTAAAACCTTTAAATGTTTCCCGGATAGTTTTTATTTTTCGCCAGGTGTTTGTTTTCAATGGTAACTTGGAAATCTACCCTTCAAAACCTGGCTCAAACCAGCTGTAGAAAATTTAATTTGAATAATTAAATTTGCATTATGTAATAATTCGAGACAATGTTGTCTTGATCAATAGGCAAAAATTATTCAAAGCCAATAATAATCATTTCCTCATATTTTGCAAGTCTCCCTCAGTTTGAATACTATTTATAATTTAATGCAAATTTATGATAATGATTTTTTTCCAGAATTGACTGAATAATTAAATTTTCAATTGAAATTCTTTGCAACTCCTCATAAGTATTAAAAAACCCGCGAATCAAAAAGGCTAAAATCGCTAATGTAGTAACAGGTGCTGTAATTTTTGCAAACTTCCACTTCTAGAAAGTAAGCGAAGATGCAGAAAAATCATTAAATATCTTAAAAACATTATAAATCCGCGATTCTCTAGTAGATTTTTTTTCCAGAACGGAAAAAAGCCATTTTTTTTATCATCAAATTTTGCTCCGTTCATCGTCGGCGAATGTTCGTATAAACACAGATTGGAGTCGCTTATCACCCTATTTTGAGCCGAGAGAGGCGCGGGCGTTGCGTCACATCATTAACCGATCGCTTCCCGAGCTCGTTATCGGCGGATGGAGCGGCGAATTGCGCGATTCTCATCTGCATGGCGTTATTATTATCAGATAATTCCGCGATTCCTGCAGTCATCGGCACCGGCGGCGAAAAGAAAGAAATGAAGAAACGACCGTGAGCGCGAGTGTAATGTCGCTGGCGGCCGAGAATGGCGAGACTTGATTTGCCGCTCGGTGGGCTGGCGGACAAGTTCATGTTTCCTTTCTAGGCTGTGGTTGATCGAGAGGTCGGGCCAGGTACCTTGCTCGCTCAGGTAAAAACCGGCAGCAGCTGACACTCGAGACTAAAGAAAGAGAGGAGGAAAATATATATATACGCGACCATTATTGTTGTGTGGAGCATGAAAAGATGCACGCCGAAGTACCTCCTACACAAAAACCTCGGCAGCTTTATTATTATTATTATTTTTTTCTTTTACTCGCTGATTGAAGAAACCGTTCGCGGGAAGGGAAATCGGACGCAGATTGGCCCTGCTCCAAGGGAAGTTTGCTTACTCACCGTCTCACTTTTCCTTCTGCTTTTGATTAAGGGTTACAATAATGATGTTTTGCGGCAGATATGAAATCTTGGCGCCGCCGAAAATGTGCACTTTCTACGCGTCTCTTTGCTGAAATGCGATATCTTTGTGAAAAAGTAGAAACTCTTCTTGTATAACAATGTCAACGGGAGACTGTATCTTTTTTTATTCCATTTAATACACTCGCTCACTGTGCCGACAGAATGACGGAGTTCTTTCAAATTAAGGCGAAATCCCATCGATTTGGTGGAGGGATTTGCCGCAGCTTATATCATGAGCCTCTCCGATTTTTCATCAAATATTAAGGACTTTCCTCTTGATCCGCTCCATCTTATACTTTTTCTTTGATCAGAACACGGACAAGTTTGGGCGAAAGTTATTGGCTTTTATATTTTCTCAAGGAGAACAAAGTTGAGAGCCCCAAAGTTCGCATACAAAGTGGGCAGCAATTGATAACAAAATATATAAAACGACAAGTTCGCAACCTGGATGCGCCACAATATCTGTTTTTATTTATAGATTTGCTGAATTTTTGTACATTGAATCAAATAAAATTTGTACTAAAGGAGACAAAATGAGCCTAGTTTAAAATGAAGCTCAAATATAGAAAAATTGAAGAAATTGAATTTTTTTTCTCATTTACGAAAATCTAAAATTAGCAAAGGAAGCACTTAATTCAGTAAAATTGCGAATTCTAAAAATGAAGTCTAATTTTAAGATAAATTTCTTGTATATTTATTTAATGAGTATTTGAAAAGTAAAATCTGACCATTGTTGTATATTTTGAGGACAAAACTATTCCCTTTTACTTCTAAAAAAAAAGAGATAGGACCCATTTTAGCATCGCCAAAAAAAATCTAGATATGTTTTTTTCCTTTAACCTTTAAAGCAAAATCAATAATTTGAGAACAAATATTACTCTGTGTTTTCTTTAGAAATGAGCTGTCATTAAAAACATTGGCCCGCCCTCATCATCACATATTTTTTTGCCACTCGCGCTTTTGCGGTTTTGAAAGATGAACATAGGTTTTTTTTATTCATGCAGTCTCCAGAGATATGCGCTTCGTTCCTTCTTACAGGGGGAAGTGTTTGTCATATTAAAAAACAGTTTTGACACCCCCTCGTCGTCTTCAACAAAGCAATGAAAAATGATGATCAAATATTCAAACGCTTCGACGGCGAGGGTGTTTTGTCATCGTCCGTTGCTAAATTCGAAAGCAGAAATTCGAATTTCCGCCCATATAAAAAACAAAGCAATTTTCTTTCTGGCCGAGCCGTCCGGATATTAGGATGGCGGCTCGCTGG